CCCCCGCGGCTCCTTCAAAAAAAAAAAAATCGTGAAAATAAAAATCTTTGATCCCTAAGGATTATTTTAAAAGCTACAAACCCCAATCGACCCCTATCTGCAGCATCTTCCCTACAGCCTGAGCCATCGGTGGGGTGGAGGGGGGTGTATCCAGCGCTCTGTGGCATAACCCGGAGCCGGTCCCTCCGCCCCCCATCCCAAATCTCCCAGGTTTTCCACGTTACTAACCCGCGTCCCAGCTCAGAGGACGCCGGGCCACGCCGGGTCTTTACAGCTGTCCTTACACCACCTCTTTCCGTAAGCCCGACATCTCTGTGGCAGTGTTTGCATCCACAGGCTCTTTCATCCTGGAGAATCCCTCCCTGCCTCCTCCCACCGCTCTTTTTGGGGAGGATAACGTAATTTCCAGCACACGCTGGAGGATGCTTTTTTATTCCTGCTGAGCCCGAGGTCACTTCCTAGACCTCTCCTCTGGCCAGCGTCTCCTCCACCCCAGGACCTCCCTCCGGAGGGAACAGTCCCTTCTCCCTGACCTTCAGCCTCACAGCGGCGGCCCCACCGCCGTTCCCACCGAGGAGAAGGTTCCTTCTCCCTCCCAAGCCACAGCCGAGGCATCACGCTGCGTTTTTCCACTCCCTCAATCTGCTCCTTCGGCACCGGGGGGGGAGGTGGTCAGAGAGCCAGGGGGCTCCCGCTCCGGTGGCTTTCGGGGATGGAGGAGACCCTCACCCTCTCCTCACCTACGGGGGGTTTGATCTGTCCCAAGGGGACATCAGCCCTCTGGAATCGGCACATCCCAGCGCTCGGTAGCCGGGGGTCCGCCCCCCTCCGCAGACCCTCTCTGGAGCAGCCTCCGTGTTCTGTGGGGTCTTTCTCTGGCTGCCCCTGGGCTCCAGGAGGGGAGTGGTGGGGTGAGTCCCCCCCCCCCAGGGCCACAGGAGCTCCTTCTGCAGCGCTGCCGCTGCGAGGGTCACCCCCAGCCCCGGGCCTGCCTCCACAGGGGTGTGCCCCCCACTATCTCCTGTCGGGAGGAGCAGCTCCATGACCCCTTCCCTGTCCTGCCCTATGTGTGTGGGGCAGCATCTGCAACCCCTCGGAGCCAGAATCCATTCCATGCCATGCCATGAGAGGCACAGACCCATGTCCCCTCCAGACTGTGAGATGACAATAGCCCCATTCCCCTCTCCCCAGCCCCACACACTCATTTGGGGGGCATGTCTAACTCCCTCTGGAGTTCTTCCCCAAATATCCAGGTGGGGGGAACCGACCCATGTCCTGTTTGGACCAACAAACCCTACTCCTCCCACCTTAGCCCCAGAGACACATTTTGGGTGAACTTCTCTTCCCCTCAGGTGTCCCCTCAGCACAATGGGGAGCCCTGACAGCTCCTCCACCATGGGGAGCACTGGCAAAGGTCCACCTTGGACCCCCATGGCCCCCAACTCAACCTCAAAGGCTCATTTTGTGGGAATCACCTCCCTTTGCGTCTCTCCTCACCCAAAGTTGAAGTAACCCCACAATCTCTGTGGGGAGGGACATCACACTGACCACAACCAACTCAGACCACAAGCTGACAATGACCCCCATCTGCCCCACCTTCGGCAGGGACAGCGACCCACGCCACCTCAAAGCATGAGATGACACTGATCCATGTTCACCCCAGACCATGAGGTGATGCTGCCCCATGTCCACCTCAAACCACAAAGTGACACTGACCCATGTCACAGACAGACCACAAGCTGACAGTGACCCCCCCAACTGCCCCATCCTGCCCAGGGTGGGACCACCTCAAACCTTGAGGTGACCCATGTCCATCTCAGACCACGAGCTGACAGCTACCCACCTCAAACCAGGAGGTGACACTGACCCACATCCACCTCAGACCACGAGCTGACAACGACCCACATCTGCCCCAGCTCGGCCAGAGGACACTGACCCACGTTCACCTTGGACCAGGAGGTAACACTGGCCCATGTCCACCTCAGACCAGGAGCTGACAGCTCCCCACCTCAGCCAGGGAACAGTACCCACGTCAAAGCATGAGGTGACACTGACCCATGTCCATCTCAGACCAGGACACAACACCAACCAAGGACCATGAGCTTTCAGCTCCCCATTCTGGCCAGGGGACAGTGACCCACCTCGGCCCACGAGGTGACACTGACCCCCGTCCACGTTAGATCACGAGGGGACACTGACCCACCTCAGACCAGGAGGTGATACTGACTCATGTCAGTATCACCAAGAGGCAACACTGACCCACGACCACCTCAAACCACGAGGTGACATTGACCCACCTCACACCGAGAGGTGACACTGACCCATGTCCACGTTAGACCACGAGGGGACACTGATCCACCCCAAACCAAGAGGTGACACTGGCCCACGTCCACCTCACGCCGGGAAGTGACAATGCCCCACGACCACCGCAGACCAAGAGGTGGCACCGACCCACGTCCACGTCCGATCATGAGGTGACACCGACCCACGTCCCCCTCCCGCCGGGCGCTCACACCCCCCCGCCACGGCCGCGCTCCCGAGCCCCCCGCGCCGCCCGCCCCGCCGGGGGCTCGGCGGTGTCCCGGGCCGCCCCTTACCTCCACACCTGCCCCATCTGCAGCAGGTGGATGACGGACTGCCAGACCCAGACGGAGATCCTGCAGAGGCGCTGCGCCCCGGGGGTGGCGGTGCCGGCGGCTCCTCCTACCCCGCCGGCGGGTCCCCCGCGCCGGCCCGCGGTCCCCCCCATCATGGGCGGCCCGCGGCTGCTGAGCCCCTGCACGGCGCCCAGCCCGCCGCCCGTGAAGTCCTGCACGAACCAGCGGAAGCTCAGGATCTGCACCAGCACCGAGGGCAGCAGCACGAAGGCCAGGGTGAGGCCGCACCACAAGTAGTCCCGCCGGCCGTAGTGGTGCAGCGCCAGCCACAGGTCCGTGCCCACGTCCCCCAGCAGCACCAGCAGCGCCAGCACGATCCACAGGCAGTCCAGCCACGGCCGTTCGGCCGCCTCGCCGGCCTCCGGCGGCCCCTCGGCGGCGGCGGGGGGGCGCGGGGCCAGCGGCTCGGCGGCGGCGGTGGCGGCGGCCGCCCGCCCGAAAAGGTTCCGCAGGCAGGCGCTCCGGCAGCCCCAGTAGCAAGACGACGTGTTGCAGCAGTGGCAGATGTGCAAGGAGCTGCTGCCGCCCGGCTCCTCCGCCACCTCGGCCGCCGCTGCCCCGACGCCGCCGCCGCCTGCGGCCGCCGCCGCCTCGTCCAGGTTGTGCAGCTGGGCGAAGCCGCCGCCGCCGCCGCCGCCGCCGCCGCCATCCGACTTGGCCGCCATCTTGCTGCCGCCGCCGCCGCCGCGTCCCCGGCCCGTTCGCCGGGCGCTCGCTCGCTCGGCCCCCCCCGTGCCCGCTCCCCCCGCCCGCCGCTTCCGGGGGCGGCGCTTCCCGTGCGCGGGCCGCGGGACGGGCCGGGGCCGCCTGGCGGCGACAGCGGCCGGAGCCGGGAGGGAGCGGCGGCCGAGGCGCCTCGGGGACCGTCGCGTTCCAGACCCCGTGCCGCGGGCAGGGGCGCCTCCCGCTAAGAACGCGTTTGCTCCGAGCCGTTCCCCCTCGTCCTGTCGCTCCGTGCCCGACAGCCCTCAAGGAGCGCCCCTACGGAATCGTTTAGGTTGGGAAGGACCTCCGGGATCACTGAGTCCGGCTAACCCAGCGCTGCGGCGTTCACCCCTAAATCGTGTCCCCCGAGTTCCACACCTACACGTTTGTTTTTTTTTTAAAACCTCCGGGGATGGTGACTCCAACCACTGCCCTGTTCCGTTGCCTGACCACCCTTCCCATGAGGAACTTTTTCCTGATATTCCAATTTTAAGCTCCTCTAGCACAGCTTGAGGCCATTCCACAGAACCACTTAGGTTGGAAAAGACCTCCAGGACCATCGAGTCCAACCTGTGACCCATTCCCACCTTGTCACCCAACCCAGAGCACTGAGTGCCACATCCAGTTATTCCTTGAACACCTACAGGGATGGAGATTCCACCACCTCCCTGGGCAGCCCCTTCCAATGTCTAATCATCCCTTCCGAAAAGAAATTCCTCCTGGTGTCCAACCTGAACCTCCCCTGGCATAGCTTAAGACTTTGGTACTGGAAGGTGCTCTAAGGTCTCTGCAGAGTCTTCTCCAGAACAACCCCAGTTCTCTCAGCCTTTCCTCATAGGAGAGATGTTCCATTTCTCTAATCACCTTGGAGTCATGGAATTTTCACAGAATCATAGAACATCCTGGGTTGGAAGGGCCCCACAAGTCCCATTCCTGGCCCTGCACAGGACACACCAACAATCCCACCCTGTTCCTTAGAGTGTTGTCCAGACGCTCCTTGAGCTCAGGCAGCGAGTTTGGGACTGTGACCACTGCCCTGGGGAGCCTATTCAGTGCCCAGCCATCCTCTGGAGGAAGAACCTTTTCCTAATACCCAAACTAAACCTCCCCTTACGCAGCTCCAGCCTCGGGTCCTGTCCCTGGTCACAGAGATTGGTGCTGCCCCTCCACTGTCCCTCGTGAGGCAGCTGCAGACCCTGATGAGATCTGACCTCAGTTTCCTCTTCTCTTGGCTGAAGAAACCCAATGACATCAGTTGCTACTCATATGGCTTCCCCTCAAGATCCTTCGCCATATTCCTGGCCCTCCTTTGGACATTAAAAAAGTTCCATTGTGCTTCTTCTCCCAGATTTCATGTTCTGACACCAGCAATCCCCAGAACATCCTCAGCTGGACCCCTTTTTGCTGACTTCATCCCACTCCCAAATCAACTCCCCTGTCTGGTGTCTTGACCCTCAAATCCATGTTCTGAAATGCAACTGCCCTGTCCCTGTCACCTGCTCGCCCTCAAATACCAGGACCACCACTCTGCCACCCAGGCTGTCCTCAGTCCCATGGCTGTGCTGGGGAAGGGGTGCTCCTGTCCCTCCCCATTTCACAGGTCCCCCGCCTTTACTCTGAGGGTAGTGAAGCACTGGCACAGAGAAGCTGGGGCTGCCCTGTCCCTGGAAGTGTTTAAAACCATGTTAAAGGGAGCTTGGAGCAAGCTGGGTTAGTGGAAGGTGTCCCTGCCATGTCAGGGATTGGAGCAAGATGATCTTTAAAGTCCTTTTCAATCCAAACCATTCTGGGATTCATTCTATGATGATGGTGACACTCTCCAAGCCCACCTTGCCATCCCACCCTCACATCACCTCACTGCCTTTCCAAACACCCCACCACAGTCTCTTCCTTTCCTTCTAATACAGGGATCCCACATCCTCTCTCTCCTTTGCTCTTGTCCTTTCCTTACCCACTTTGGGGGACCCTGCTTCTCCCACCCTGTTCTTATGGAGTCAGGCAGACCATACCTGCTCCTCTCCATGGGCTCAGCTCAGTGCTGGAGAAACCTCTGACAAGCTGAGGAAGCCACTCCCTGCTCTGTTTTTGGGATCTGCCTGGCGGTGAGCTGCACCCCAGACAGCTGTTTCGCTGAAGAACCCACTGGCAGGCTGGGAAGCCAAATCCTAGGTCCTTCCTCCCCAGTTCCCCGTTACACATCTGTTCATTCATCATATCCATCTTTTCTGAGCTGTCTTGTGCTGTCCTCTGTAGGTTACAATCTTCCCTCTTTACCATTTGTGCTTTTTCCCGTTGCATAAGGATGCTCCTTCCAGATCCTCCTCCAGCTGCTGCTTCTACCTCTTTCTATGGGAGTTTGAATTCTATCCTTCCTCTCTTGTCTGTTTCTTTCAGTTGTGGCAAAAATCAGGGCTGGGAGATTCAGGACTTCAGAACTGGCTACCAAAGTTGCTGCTTTGCAGAGTCTAAATTTCAACATGGAAAAAAAAAAAGACAAACTCCCAGAAGCTAGAAAAGTGCATAAATGCAGATAAAGTGCTTTTATGCAGGGAGGAAGAGTTAATTTAATCCTAAGAGAAGTGGGATGACTTGCATATATTAAATAGGCTGTCTGGGAAGGGTGTACTTGGCATTTCCGAGTTGAAGGAGCTCAAAAGTTTTGTGAAGCCTGAAAAGTCCTGCTGGTTTTGAAACGGTTGGATCCTTCTACAGCAGAGAAACAGAAGAAAAGGAGAGGAAAACAAAGTTTTTGGCATTCTCCAGGTGGATTCACCTGATACACACCTGGATGCGACCAAACTGAAGTCAACCGGAGTGAAACTCTGGCACAAAGTTCTCCAAAAGGAGAAAACTGGTGTTATCTATAATATTATATAAAAGGATTGGAGAGGATGTGATCCCACAGGTCCCCGTGATAACGAGTCCAAATGTTGCAGATATTCTCTCTTATTTTCTGCCAGCTTAAGCTACTGCGAGAATATGGAAATAAATAAGACAAAAACCAGCCCTTCACATGCACAAGACATGTATAAAAATATATAACATAAAATCCCTCTCCTGTTCGACACTTAGAAACCTAAATACGGATGTTAATTCTCCCAGCAGTAGGAAATAAGGACTCTGGGACCCGTATTCTTGGGTGGGAAGCACCCAGATTAAGCTTCAACTTCTGATTTGCAGCACAAGGCGATATAAATGGAATCATTCCTCATCCCTTCAAACTTTTCTGTGTAGCAGATTTGCTCCATATGATTAGAAAGAGGGGAGGGGGGGGGAAGCAAAAGCAAAACAACACAGAAGTAATAACACTATTTGGCGTTATTATTTAAATAGAAGTGTAGGTTGCACGTTGCACTTCACGAACCAGTAAGGGGGCAGACGAGTCATCTGTTTTGATACAAAAACAACCCAAACTTGTGTGATGAGACATTTGGGTGGGAGAAGGCAGCAGTTGAGGGTTTTGGCACACGAGATGAGAAAAGCAGCTGCTTGGGCAAGAGATGACATGATACAGCACACTGTTGGCACTGCCTCCCAATTTCTCGGTGCAGTTGTGACCACCAGTGTTCAAGAAGGGCACAGTCAGGCTGGAATTTGTGCAGGGAAGAGCCAGTCTTTGAACAGAGGTCAGGAGAGTCTGTCTTTCTCCTGTGGGCTGAAAGAATTTGGCTTGTTTAGTTTAGCAAAAATAAGGTTGGAGAAGGAGTTTTCTGCCTATAAATACACACTGGAAAGTAAATGCGAGCGAAGGGAAAGGCACTGGGACGCTGAAGGGCAGCGGTGGAAAAGCAAATGAGTAGGAACTGGCCAGGAATATATTTAGTCTGGAAATCGGAAGATCTTTCCAGTAGGAGTAGGGGAGACTAAAATAAAAAAGTAGCTCCTTTTAACACGGAGCTTCATAATCTTATCAGGGAAAGTGCGTGCCAGTGTGGAACGATAAACAGCTGGGATGAAAGCCCTTGAAAGGTCTTCCATCCCAGATCGTCTCTCCTTGGAAAGATCTTGTCCATTTTGATGCATGGAACGCTACGTTCCTTCCTGCATCAGGCGATGACTCATGGATACATGACTCCGTGGGTGGCCAGAAGTGATATCTCCACCACTTACATCTTAATTCTTGATTATCCCATGATGTTCTCCAGCTCCTGCTCGCTCTCCTAGCACACAGCAGAGATGCAGCCACGTCCAGATCTCCTCACAGCTCCCCGATTTCCATGGCAGCCACAGCCACAGCTGTGTGGTGGCTTTGGCCAAGGACAGGGGAATGGTGCTTTGCCCTCTCAATCAACAAGAGCTGTTCCCTTGTAGTCCTGACCCTTCCAGAGAGCTGGAAGTCATTAGTCAGAGCCTGTTTCTTTTATTAGCCAACACCATGGTATTTTTAGGGATTTTTTGGAAGTTGTGAGTGTCAATCACACCCATGTTGAGATCTCTCAACTCGTATTTTTGAGAGGAGGAAGCTTTTTTTGGCGCTCAGCACCATCCCACGCTTCCATCGCGCTGGAGGCGCTTCTGTCCGGAGCTCTGGGTAAACTCTGGGTGACCCTGAGATCTGCAAGTATTTATAAAACATGTTTAGCCAGGGTTTTTCCCTTGCAGCACTGGGAGCTGATCTGTCTGTGCCTTGCATTTCATGCTCTCTCTGTTCTCCACAAGCACCAATGAGGCACCAGGAATGGGAGGAGTGTTTGGCGCTCCGGCAGCACCCGGCATGGGATCACAACCTCCCTGTACTGCTTGGCTAAAGGCTTTTTTGGTCCTGATCAATACAGTAATTGAGCTGTGTGGTCTTCCATCTTCCAGGCATTTATTCAGATCAGGGGAACAAACACTATATATAGAGAGGTATGTATGCCAGAATCAGAGTTGTGTAAATCTGGAAGTGCCTCATTTAAATAAACTGGGGGATGGATCCAGCTGAGTGTTTGGTGTACGTGGAGTACAGGTAATTACAATT